GCCAAAAATAAATGCAAAAGCACTTAATAGCTGGAAATGTTTCAAATTTCCATTTTCCCATCATCACTCTTGAGTTAAAGAGAGGCAGTTTTGGCTGTTCCGACTTAAGATCTCTTAGAACCCAGCACCCATTTTTCCATGACATGTACGTCACTGCCATCACACTGGGTACTGTCTCCTTGTCCTGGCATTTACAGAAACTCATCTTTTTCCACCTGTATGAACATGACCAAAGAAAACCTGTGATCTGGGAGGGTCAGGACTGTTCCCACGCTTCTGCAACATCTCTGAGCTCAAATGCACATTTTCAGTGCTACCACAGATGATAGCAGGCAGCAGCATATAAGGTCATTCAGTTTGTTTTTCTTGGTGCAGGAGGAAGTGTTTAGTGTTTGGAGAAATCCCTTTGTTGTTATATTTCAGTTATGCTGAGTTCCAGGGAAAAGCATCTCCTCAGGTTGCAACAGTTTGTATTTTGCCTCGGTGGTGAAAACTTGTTTGTCCAGAACTGAGGAACACAAACCTCTCTGTACCTGGCCCTGGCCAAGAGTCGCTTGAGACACAGCAGCCGTCCTTGAACCTGGGCATGTTCTGTGTCTCCAAAAGCAGGCAGTGAGGTAGGATAAGGTGCCGACCTGACTTTCAGCCGGGGAGGAGGGCGATGCTGAGGTCTGGATGGGTTCATCGCCTCCCCACATTTAATGCAGATGCCGCTGCAGGGCTCAGCCGCCCCCGGCTGGGTCAGAGCCACGCTCGTGCAAACCGGGCACGGCTCCCCGGGGTGCTGCGCCCGCTCCGAGCGCGGATCCACAGCAGCTGCACCGGCAGCATCGCCCCGTGTCTGCGCCGAGGGCCATGGAAACCTGCCGGCCGCGGGCACCTGTTGGAGCCAGGGCTGACAAACAAGACATTTGCACCCCGTAGGTTGCCCCGGGGGAGCCGGGAAGTTGCCGACAGCTTGGCAGAACGCCTGGCTTGGAAACACCTTTGAATCGGGGGCGGGGGGATTAAACTCTTGCGCAGACACGCAAATACTGCAAAACAGCGAGAATGGGGGCAGAGTACTGACTCCAAAGCCTGAATGTGTCCCTTGGGGAGCCTGGTCAGACCCAGCGTGGCTGTAAACCATCAGCATCCCACTGACTGCCCTGATCGGCTCTGGCTAAAGCCCCGGTGGGACTCCTTTGTTAGCCCGCCTGCGTCAGAGCCTGCTCCCGGCACAGTGCCCACGGTTCCCGTACGGCCAAGGCAATGCTTGGCCCAGGTCCTGCACCCCAGGCTGGAGCCCTTCCCGAGCCAGTTCCTGCATGGCCAGAGGTACAGGGCACACATGGTACGGGCTGATGGAAACACGGGATCGGTGTGGGGCAGCTGGACAGGATGGGACAACCACACTGCCTAGCAGACGCCTCTTAGCTAGGGAGCTGGGTCAGGTCTGGAATGAACCACCTCCCAGGCAGTTTAGCTTTGCAGCCCAGGACAGAGACGGTCTTGGAGCAGTCCCTTTCACTTGGACAAGGTGCAGAAGGAGTGGCAGCAGCTGGGGCAGGATGGGACACACAGCCAGGTAGGATGTGTTGGAACACTGGACAGCCCTGGGCTGCTGTGGGCCATGACATCAGGAAAAGAAAAGCTGGATCCCTGGCGAGATCACTCTGTGCTGCCGATTGCACGTGTCCTGGGGGAAGCCAGGGGCTTTCCCTTTTCCTCACCCCAGACCAGGTCAGCTCTAAATGGGGGATTCCTCCTGCTGAAATCCAGGTGTGCAGAGTCGCTGTGCCCAGGTGTCCCTGTCCCTCCTAGTCCCCCTCATCAGCCAGCACCACTAGCCAGACCTGCCACTGTCCTTTCCCCTCCCAGTACAAAGTGCTTTGCCGAAGGGACAAAGCAGCATTTCCTGAAGCAAAGTAGTTATATTTATCAACCATGAAGCAGGTCCTTGCAGCAGCTCCCACTCTCCTCTTGGAGGGTGGCCAGCAGCCCCCAAAATACTCACCGCCTCCTGGCTGGAACTGCTGTGCTGGCCCTCCATGCCCCTGGTGCTGGTGTTCCTGTCCATCCCTGGGTGGGAAATGCAGAGAAATATGAATGTTAGCACAGCAGCATGAGCCTCATTGTGGGTGCCATGTCACCCCTGCTCTCAGGAACCCACAGGCACAGCCCCATAGCCCCACAGCACCTCCCAAAACCACAGCTGTGCCAAGACCTCTGCCTGTCTGTGGGGAGCCACACTGCTTTCCCTCCCTACCCTGCAAAGCTCAGTGTTCAGGAGTGGATCAAAAAATAACTTGCTTTCCCAAGAGGGGTGAGCTCAGTGCAACAGGATCCCATCCTGAGTCCTCCGGAATCTGGTGCCCTTTGCAGCCCCCTCACTGAGTATTGCCTCATGTTTGGGTCCCCATCACTGCCAGTCAGTGCCCTACATGGGAAGCCAGGCTCTTCGCCCCCAGGAGACCATGCAGCTGTTAATAAACATTAGCAAATCACTAGGGTTTCCTATGGCCACATGTCGGTCAATGTGTGCTTGTCAGTCACAGCGGGCCACGGTTAATGCTTACAAAATCTCTTTTGCAATGAAGGGGCAGTGCAAGGGGCAGGTCTATATTTACCCCTTCGAATAAAGACAGCAGCCAGAAGTTCACAGCATTGGCTTCCTCAACCTGGCTTAAAGAGCTGGGCACAGCCAACCAGACAAAATCCAGAGGGACACCTTACTGTGGCATCCAGCAGATCGGGGCTGGGGGGTGTCAGATTTTTCACCCATCAGTGAATTACAGGCACAGGATGAAGCACTGGGGCACAGGGGCTGCGTGCTGGAGCCCTGCTCCTGGAACAGCTCCAGTGGTGCGATGGCAGGGACAGGCAGCTCTGGTTGTGCCCACACAGCTCTCAAGGAACAGCAGGGCTCGTTTTACACGTCTGTCCCAGCAGGAGCTTGGCACTATCCACCAGCTCATTTATTGGCACAATTCCAATGGGACCGGTGACCCTTCCCTTCACAAGAGAGCCAGGCCTTGTTCAACAGTGGCAAAAGACTGCCTTGCCTAGGCTGGGGCTCTGCCCGGAGGCACAGGGACATCTGTCCCAGGCTCCCACAGGGCTGCACCGTGCCATCCAAGCAGGTAAAGCACCACTTCTCCCTCTCCTCTCCTGAGCATGGCTGAAAGCCCTCACCGGCTGCACTAATAAACGGGCACAGTAGGAAACAAAGAGGTCTGGCAGCTGCCCTGGTCTGTGCCGAGTTGGCCGGGGCTGGCACACACCTGCTGGGTCTGCAGGCAGGGCTGGCTCAGTACCGGTGCCGGTGCCTGCCTGCAGCCAGCCCACCGGCAGGAGGGCACTCGGGCTGCTGTGCTCACAGCTGGACCTCCTGGCCAGGCTGGCGCCTTGGGGCAAGGGTTGCCTTCCTGAAGCTCAGGAGCTGGGATGGGATGCAGGGATTTAACATGGCCTGGGCAATTGTAGGGCACCAGCAGCTCCCCGGGGGCACACACACCCTGTCACAGCAGTTGTGCTGCTGCTCAGCCTGACCCTGGCACGGAGTGGAGGAGGGAACTGAGACCTGCCTCTTCCATCACTGTCACAGAGTGGGGGCGACTGAGCAGGTGGGGACCAGTGCCAGCCCCTCTGTCCAGTGGGACACAGGCAGTGAGCTCAGGGCTCCTCTAGTTCATCCGAGGTGAATAACTGCTGTTTTCTCTGGAGGTGATGTGTTCTTTGCCATTAATTGATCTGGGCATTTGTAACTTGTCTCTCGCACCGCTGTCAGTGTATGCTTTCCCTTTTCTCCTGGGAGAAGCTGGTCATTAGGCTCTTATCCAGTTAAAGTGTGGTGTGCTGTGTTGTTTTTTTTTTTTTTTTTTTTTAAGCAGAGATAGGATTAGTTCTTTTAACTTGATGAAATATGCTTGAAACAATTATATGATTTGTACTTAGCACCTTTCAGCCCAGGGCATTAAAGTGATTTACAAGCAATTATGAAGCCTGCTGGGAAGATGCTTTTATTGCTATTTTATAGATAGGATATGGAAAACAGAGGTTAAGGGCCTGTCCTAGCTCCTTGGCCAGAGACGCAGGGAGATTGCAGGGGATTGCTGCCTCCATGGGACAGGGCAAGGGCAGCAGCAGGCATCGCCACCGGAGCGTCTCAGAGCACCGGGAAACAAAACACTGGGCTGCCCGGGACTGTCACCCACACCGCAGGGAGGAGGGACATGGGGAGGACGAGGTAACAGAGAGGTGCCAGGGAGGTGTTTGGTGAAGGACAGAATGTCCCAGAGCAACAGGGCTTGAGAGGGGTGGGAGCTGCTGAAGGTAAAGGGGCTGGAGAAAGATGGGGAGAGCCAACACCAGCGAGGCGGGAAGCCCCTCTGGCCGGGCTGCCGGTGAGTGCGGCGGGACCTCCCGAAGAAGGGGCAGCACCTCTGTCCCCTCCGGAGATGGGGCAGGAGCTCTGTCCCTCCCTCCCCAGCCCCTCCTGGGGTACTGTCGCTCCGCTGTTTCCAGCGGGACGGCCCCGGGCAGTCACTTGGGAAGGACGTGCCCGTGCCCAAGCGCTCCCCGCGGACCCGGGGGTGCAGCGGGCGGTGCAGTCCGGTTCTGTTCGGTTCGGTTCGGTTCGGTGCAGTTCGGTTCTGTTCGGTTCCGTTCGGTGCAGTTCGGTGCAGTTCGGTGCAGTTCGGTGCAGTTCGGTGCAGTTCGGTTCTGTTCGGTGCAGTTCGGTTCTGTTCGGTTCGGTTCGGTTCCGTTCGGTTCTGTTCGGTTCTGTTCGGTTCCGTTCGGTTCCGTTCGGTTCCGTTCGGTTCCGTTCGGTTCCGTTCGGTTCTGTTCGGTTCTGTTCGGTGCAGTTCGGTTCGGTTCGGTTCTGTTCGGTGCAGTTCGGTTCTGTTCGTTCCCGCTCGGCGCTGCCCGGTTCCGAGCCGGCCCCGCCGCTCGTTCCCGCCCCACTGCGCAGGCGCGGCGCAGCCGGTGCCGGGGCTGTGGCCGCCGCCGTGGCCCCGCGGCTGCGGCGGGAGCGGCGGCACCGGCACCATGCGGCAGTCCCTGACTCAGCAGCGCCCGGGCGGCGTGGCCCTGCCCGACTCCGTG